ACTATGACGTCACTGCTTGTTTATGTAGGGATAGAATCGCCAAATCCAATAGAAAATTCAACAAAATTTGCTCCTAGCGAAACAGTTTAATCTAAAAAGGCCGGGTTTTCAGATATAATATGTGTTATTATGTACTAAAAAATTTTTCTGAGCGTTTGCTGGCTGTTCTTCTTCTCTTCATGGATTGATACGGGTTTTAGAACAATTTTTGGTGAATTTGCGTTGATTTGACCGCCTCCGACGACCATGATTATAAAGTATTATTATTATTATGATCCTTTGCGTTTAAACAATAGATTGTTTTGATGTGACGTCATAGTGAAATGGGGCTAATTGGGACAGTTTTTTGATTGGTTACCCCCCAAAGACGCAAAGTATTATGGGAATGTGAAAGTAGAGAATTCCGAATTTTTGCCATGCTCTACCTAGTTATTTAAAGCTAGAACTGGAACGTCTACAAAAGAGAAAGCTATGGCAATTATGTATCCTAAATAGACGACTTGCACTAAGAGGTCACGTGATCAAATCGGCCATTGTGGCTGGCATTCTACAGAAATTTAGCTATGCGAGAATGTAAAAAATGATGGCGGATTCGGGTAGTTTTTTTGGTGACAAAAGGTAAGTTAGCGCATGACTATATGAATGTGACTATAGGGTTCAGTCTTAGGCCCTTTGCTGTTTCTCTTGTATATTAAGGATTTCTCCAACTCTACTAAATCTTTTTGATATTCATCTTTTTGCCGATGACTCAAATTTATTCTATTCTGATAAAGATCTTATAAATCTAGAAAAAAAACTATTAGCCTCGTTCGAATTAATTAAAGTTAATGAATGGTTAAGTGCTAACAAGTTAACTTTAAATGTTAGTAAATCCAACTTTGTTATTTTTACTTCTTGTCAGAAAAAACGTCCCTTTCAGCCTAAACTCTTCATCAACAATAACAATCTGGAACAGAAAAAAGAAACTAAATATCTTGGTGTCATTTTAGATCATAATTTAAACTGGAAAAGTCACCTTCATGGTCATGATTACTATTGTGTTTCCTTCATGAATTATTAATGAGTTTTTGAAAGTTCTTGAAATTTTACCGCCGCCCTGTTCGAGTCCCGACGCAGGTGAATTTGGATAAGGAAACCTTTGCCACAAGGGTAGCACATTACTTCCAGAGATTGGACAGCATCAGCCCAATAACTAATTGTCAATGTGAAATACACACAAAAGAAAACTATCCAAAGACTATTCATAATGTTCGTAATGATATGCATCGTTGAATTTCGGTAATTTAAAGAACAAATAACAGATCTTTTAAGCGATCTTTTCATTTTATATTATCATCGTGTCACGTAACTCACTAGCCTCCTTTGCAGACGTTATTTGTGTCGGTCTCTTATGCCTCAGGGAAGGCATAAGAGACCGACACAAATAACGTCTGCAAAGGAGGCTAGTAACTCACGTGCGAATGTGTATTTTATGTATTAATATCAGCATAGAGTGAAGTCATTAAACCAGTGAAATAGATATTTGATTAATACACTTTAGTAGATCTTAATTCCGCTGTTTTCTTTTGTGTCTATTTGACTATTATACACTTTGACTATTATTTTTTATTTCACGGGTTAAATACCTTCACCTTTCGCTGTTAATCTTTGGACAGTTACTTATCTTATTTAGTAATATTCTTAATCAATTTTCAAATTCTTGTTATATTTTAAAAACTGAAAACCGCAATCAATTAAATTAAAATAGAATACTTTTTGTGTTCAATAGAAATCTTTACTTTGGGCGTAACGTTTTGCCCATTTCAGACCACGTGTCATTCCCTTGAATATCATTTCTTTGTTTGTATGCAAATGAAATAAAGAATCTTATTCTCAAAGAAATGACACGTGGTCTGAAATGAAAAAAAAAAAGACTCACCCGAGCTAAAGAGGTCATTGATGGTTTTCAAGCATTGCAAAAAGTCACTAATAAGGCTCCGTCCACACGTATCCGCAAATTTTTGTATCCGCAAATTTTTTTTTGCGGATACAAAAATGTTTGCGTCCACACGCAGCGTATTCGAATCGTTTTCACCGTCCACATGTGTCCGTTTTCGTAGAATTTCCGGATACGGATACAAAAATTTCCGGACACGTGTGGACGCAGCCCGTTCCCGAAAAAAAAAATTGCGGATACAAAAATTTTCGGGTACGTGTGGACGGGGCCTAAATGACCAAGAGATGGCGGCCGTGTTGGTGGGATGGATAAAGGATGCTAATGAGAAATATTTTTGTTAAATATCACCGACCATCAATGAAAATGAAAATGAAATGGCTAGGTCGTGGTGGTTTCGGTGCGCTCGCGATCCTATCCCCCCTCACTGGGTCAGTGGGAGCAGGCTTGTCACAAACGACAACCTCACAAATGAAACTGAGCCTAGTCAGAGGCCCTCTAACTCTACTCTTGGGCTTTCTCCAGCTGATTTGGGGGAAAAAATTTGTCAATCAGAAACGAAAAAAAAATTGTTTTAACTCAGTGAAGTGCCACTTTAATCTTCCTTGAAATCGTGGATTTTCAGTCTGGATTTTAAGGCCAGCAAATATTAAATTACGTTGCTAATAAGCGCAGTGCTATAATGGTAACGATTTATTTTTATTTTTTTATTGCAATGACGGGCATGTTTTTATTTTTCGCTGCAATCTTCATGACAACCATAGTTAAACTATGTGACAACTCAGTTTTGCAGTGACGTCATTTCTTGCTGTAGTATTGAGCTCATAACAAATTTTTTTATGACGTCAATAGAATAAAATAACCTCAGTGAACAAGGTTTTATGGCAAGAATTGCTTATAAAAGACAAGCCGAAACAAACTACTCATAAAAAAATCAACAAATTATTTGTTTTCCCAAAATTAAACAGCAGGGCCCGGTTGAAGCAAAGGGTGGATAGCCCTATCCGATGGATAAATCCTTACCCAGTGGATAAGTCGACGCAGTTATCCAATACGTTAATCCACTGGATAAGATTTATCCTTCGGATAGCGCGCGCTTTTCACTCTTCGTACCGGGCCCAGTACAATAGATGGTTTGCAATACATAGCATGACTGTCGGTGACTATCTGAAAAAAAGAAAAAAAAAACCTGAGATTTTACATATTTACAATCCAATCTTCCATTTTTTCAAGAATTTATGCTAAATCACATTTCTGTTCGACCAGCGGATCTAAAATCTACCTTTGTAATAGTTTACGGACTTCTTCTTCATACTTCTCACAAGATTTCTTTTTATCCCAGTAACTACCCAAATCGTCATACACTTTGGGGGGGAGATTAGGGTTATGGAGATCAGCACACATCTGGCATTTCCAAGGATTCATATTTCCTAACTTATACTTGCGTTTCCACTGAAAATACTCATTGTACGCTGTATCGTTCTTATCCAAGTATTTCAAGTAACTCGCTAAATCTTTCAAAGAAGGGAAGTCCATGACATTGATGTACGAGTCTGGAATTGCAATTTTTGAATCGTACTTTAGAGGCCCTAATACGATAGGGACCATGTCATGATTAAAAGAAGTGTACCAGTACTTCTCAGTGACGTAATCAATACAGTTCCTATTCTCGAAGGATAAATAAAACTTGAATCTTTTTAAAAGTTTCTCACAATCGCGTGTTTTTCTATTACAACGATTAGTTTGGTTAAAATGCTTCCCACACGGCCCAAACACCGTAACGTTGACATATTTAAGGAGTTTTGCTGTTACTTTGTCTCTAAGTTTTCCACAGTTACTAACCATCCACGCTATAAACTTGTCTTTGCCTTGAGCATAGTTCCTTTGCTTCTTGTTGATTGACGTCTCAGTTGAATCCAATGGTGTGTAATATCTATAAGGTGCGAAAATATCCGAATCTCTTCGGTAAGTCATYGTCCAGTTGAAGAAACCGTTATACATGTTTGTATTAATAAAAGTATAGTAAGGATTTTCGTGAATGAAGAAAACCCATCTTTGATTCAAACTTCTGTTTCGTGACATCTCTTTCATTGTATTTACGCTTGGTAAGTCTGTTCCATGAAACATTACCGCGTCGCTTCTTGCCAGATCCTTTTTATCATATGTCAGTCTACATCTTGATTCCTTGCAGGATTTGCCATTAAAATGAGTGAAATTATACGTGTTCTTCAATTGTGGCCATGGCATAATTCCAAACCATGGAGTATAGATCAAAACTAGTTTATATTGCATCTCTTGTGACTTGTTTTGTGGGTGTAGTTTCGAATGTTTTTCCCCCTCTACTGTTGCTGTCATTTTCACTTGTTTTCCTGTGTTCTTTATCTCCAACAGCCGCGAACGTATTGTAATCATCGTTTCGTTCAACCTTGCTTGTTTTTCGTTATTCTCTTCGACTTTTTCCATTCGTACTTGTTTCATTGCTGTCGTAAGTTGAACACGAAGATAAATTGCAGCCAGAATCAAGAACAACAACAGAATGATTGTGCTAGCAAAAAATATCTTCTTGAAAGTGAAACGCATTGTATAATGGAAATAATTAAAGAGGTAGTTTTTCTGCTTTATCGAGTTTGATTGTATCTATTTGCTTGCCCTTATTCTGAGAACAAGTCGACTTCGAATCAGCTAGTTTCAGTTAAATAAGATTCTCATAAATGATACTTATTCATGTGTCCCACCATTTTTGAGCTCAGTTACGCTGCGACTGCTGCTGGTCACATCAGGCGATTATAATAATAATAATAATGATAATAATAATAACTTTATTTAAGTGTCAAGTTAGTATATGTAATAGGACTCCATGCTGTCCAATTAAGAAATAATTGGACGAGGAAAATTCCGAGGACTGACAAAATTGGATGAGGCCGTAGGCCAAGTCCAATTTGGCAGTCAGAGGAATTTTTCGAATCTAATTATTTCTTGATCGGGGAGCATGAAATCTCATTACCTATTAATTATATAGCTGCCTAATTAATCCCATATCAGCAAGACCTGTCCAATTAAGAATATAATGGTGGTATTCCATTTTAAGGCAATGGCTTAGACTGGGTGATAGGGCTGTTATATAGCACTAGTAATAAGATCCTTAGATGCATTCAATGAGGACCTTAATTGCCCTATTTCATAATGACATCACATCAAAACAGAACAGTCTATTGTTTTAACGCTAAGGATCTTGATCGCCAGAGGGGGACAGAATGACAACAACACAAAGAAAAAGACACACAATAAATTGCATTTACAAAACAGAGAAGGGAGGAATGACAAAAAAAAATACTATTAGTATGGAAGGATAAACCTTGACACATAACATATACGGAAACTGGACAATTTGAAGCCAAACTTTCGGAGAGAAAGAAGATTTTGTCGAAATTCCCATTGTTCTCGGTGATTTTGTCTCCCATGTAAACAAACTGTGACGTCATTATGAAATAGGGCAATTGGTAGTTCATATTACGGCCGGAAAGCCTATCATTTGTGTTGTAATATATATAATTATATTGAGATCCTGCAGTCTTTTTAATACCCTTAACAACTTTCAATAACAATTTAAGCATCATAAGGGTGTATATACTTTATAGCTAAAAAGAAAATTTATAGCTCACCGCTAATTAGTCTTACATCCACCACAGGTAGCCCAAGCTTGGTTTCTGTGGTGTCCTGTTATAAGGAAATGTATGGGGAATCATCAAACATTTCAATAAAATCATCAAAACGTGAAATAAAGCCTCGAAATTTTACCCTATCATTGAGAAATAGCACTTCTTTCGCTCTGCGTGGTTATTTTTTGAATTTAGCCCGTTTTAAGGATTTAAAAAAAAATAACCACGCAGAGCGAAAGAAGTGCTATTTCTCAATGATAGGGTAAAATTTCGAGGCTTTATTTCACGTTTTGATGATTTTATTGAAATGTTTGATGATTCCCCATACATTTCCTTATAACAGGACACCACAGAAACCAAGCTTGGGCTACCTGTGCATCCACTGACGATGGCAGAGGTCACTGCCGAAACATGTATGTTAAACTCAAAAGTGTAGTTCTGTTTTTCAAGTACTTAACTTCACTGATCACCTTCAGACCATAAAAAGAAAACACTATTCAGCAAACCGTTTTCGTACGAGTGGCAATCACATACTGGAGTTACAGCACGTTTATACACAGTACGACACGTCGAAACATTAAAATGGCTTTCCATTGTCGTCCAGTAATCCATCCAAACACAACGTGTATTTACGGCTTGTGAATAGTACGGCTACGCATTTGTCGTATCGTTTCCCACCAATACCAGATGATTTGGAATTTAGGCGTGCAATGCATTGTTTGTCACAGCCAAAATTTTCAAGTATTTTCTATTATCTCTCGTCAAAACGAGATATTTTCCCCCACTGAACAACGAAAAAATATGTCTATATATGTCTTGTATCCATCCATGGTTATGTTTTCTTTTCTTTATTTCCGAGGTACAGTGCTGTTATTTGTCGAGCTGAAAAATCTGGATCTAGGAAATATCGATCTACTAACATGCAATCTAGCTAGTCTTTTCAATACCCTTAACAATACCCTAATTGATCCCTCTTTTACTCCGACGAAGGACTAGCGTCCGAAACGTCAGTAAGTTTTTTCATCTTTTC